ACCAGATAGAAACGGAGCAATTGCGCGAAACTCGACTGTGACGAGAAATATTATAAGATTATAAAGAGACTATAAAGAGACTACAAAGAGAAATATTACACGAAAGGAATATAAAGGAACGAAAGAAGAATAAATGTCTTCATGTATGAAGATCGCATCTTTACGATGCCACACGAGATTTTTTCTCAATTATTGCGCGCGCGGTATCATGCAAACTTGTTTACGTCGCGAGTTCTCGTCTAACGACGAGGCTCCCTATCTCGCGGTGTCGCTCGCGCCGCGTCGCGCCGCGTCGCGCCGCGCCGTCCGAATTCCCAAGTAGAAACGGTCGAGCTATGCGGGACAAGGGAGTGTAGCCGGCAATAAGCGCGGCGACGTCGTAAGCGACATTAATCCGCGCCAGCGGAGAAGTGCATTTATAAGCTAGTCGGTTTCACACAAACGTACGTGCACACCGCGCTGAGGGTAATTTACGCACTCGCGTGGCGCAGCGACCACATAATTTAAAACGTTGATTTATGTCTCATTAGCTCGACGATTACGTTTCGCCGTTCTTTCGACGTCGGGCGATATTAATAATCGGCGTGACACGTCGCCTCCGTCATTTTCAAACGGATTAGTATCGGAGTATAGAGTCAAAAGCGCCGCGTGGCCGTCGAAATGTGCAATCGAGCTTACAAACGCGCGGAAATATCGCCTCGAAGATAATCGTTCCCCGTCAAACGAGGGACTAGTTGTAATTTGTATTACGAGTCGGCCGAAATATTATTTAATTTCTTGCGCGTTAGACAAACCGGACTGATCGTCCGGTAGTTGAGATATTTGCAATTAAAGTTGATACGTGATTCCTCCTCGCACCGCGTTCACATTCGTTTCTACGTTTTCTACGTTTTAACGTAACCGCAAATTTCGAAACGTTTCCACGCGTTTCAACGGCGACGTCTTAAAAAAATCGCATCAACGTAAGATGCGCGCTCGGTCACTCCATCTTACAGCCTACGCGAGAGAAGGAAATATATTTTACAGCGTTTCCCGGCTTTAATCGAATGAGGAGGAGGCCGTCGTCGTAACTCGATCAACGTTAAACGAAGTGTCGACCAGTCGCGACCAGCTGGCCAAGAGGTGAGGAGGAAGAGGAGGAGGAGGAGGAGGAAGTAAGAGCGGACGACACGATAGCAGCACGTAAAGACGCAGAGGCGTCCAGCACGGAGACACGATGAGAGGAGGTCGCTGAGGCCGGCGGGAAAGTTGCAGGGTCCGAGTGGGGCGGCCGGAGGGGGGATGTAGGTGCCGTTGCACTTGCGTTGCTGCAATCGCATTACATCGTCGCGACCGCGATGCATACGAAGTAATCTCGTCGCGGTGGGCCCAGACAAGCTGTCGCCGTGCCTGCATTCTTGCGGGCGACTCTAGAGACGAACTCGCGGAGGCGGGGTGCGGCGGGGGGGGGAGAGAGAGAGGGAGGCCGACGGGAAGGTGAACGGGAGGTGCGCGCCCTGTTCTCGAGCGCGAAAACAGAGACGAGTACGCCGAGGAGACGGTTAGACGCGCAGACGATATCGCGACTCGGTGAGGGTCGCGAAGGGGGGAGGGGGATGAGGGTGACAGATCGCGGAGATTTCACGGGAAGGAGGACGATGACACGGGGGACGGGGATATCGATAATATCGGGCCAAGGTTCGAACGGTGCGTTGTCATGGAATTGTGGCAGCGCGCGACGAGCGCGTTTTTCACGCACATTCGCGGCTCTTCTTTTATATATATATATCTCTTCCCTTTTTTCTCTTCTCTCTCTCTCTTCTTTTTTACCGGTATTATGCAAACGATTCCTATTGCGACGACTCCCGGTGTCACTAACTCTTTCCTGCCCTTCTCGCGCGTTTACGATCGCGATATATCTTTTTATCGAGTTTTTTTCTCGCAATTCATTCGATCTTGCGAAATTATGCGCTATCCATATTTATCATACGGAAAATGTGACAAAGTATTACGCGTTGTGAAAATCTGAGAGTAACCTTTAGCGGATTTACTGCTGCATCAGTGTAACAAAAAACCACATTATTGTGTGATGTAAATTTAACGATAAATTCGGCGGAATATATCACAGCTTTACAAACGTAATGAAAAAAAAAAAAGAGAAAGGAATCGCACGGTTTCAATCATCGATTGCACCGCGTCGTGATAATCGGGAGAATCTGCGGGAGCGTTCTTATGCCGAAATTATCGCGATGATTATCGCTCAACAGTCGCCGGCAGCCCGCTCGAGCGCTTCGCAGCGGAGAGAAACGGTGAACACGGCCACAGCTGCGCTCATCGTATCTCCTGCGATATTTCGAACGAATTTCCGTCACCGAGTTGCGTCAACATCTAAGGTTTATTTCCCCTTTCGCACGCGGCCGATTCAGGTCTCCGCGAGGATAGCGCGACGAGACTACTCCTTCGGCGTCGGTCGCGGCCCGAAGTATCCCCCCCCCCCCCGAGCGTTAATTGGCCATCGACTTGAAAATTGCCGCCGATGTATAAACGGAGAGAATCACGCCGGCCATTTCTTGCTATTTTACCAATAGTGACATTAGCGGCCTCACTTTGAAATTCCTATCTCTCCTATCTAATTCCCGCGACCCCCTGCCCCTCTACGGTTTTCCACCCTCTCCCCCCCCCCTCCCGTCGTTCAGGCGGAACTTGATTATTCATGTGGCCCATTTTGCCACGTTTTACTTTCATGACTGCTAATAATTCGGGATCTGCGTCTAATCGAATTTATGCAAATGACAATTAGACGCGTACAGAGATACGTTTGCGCGCCGCGTGTACCGCTTCACATACACATCCGCGCATATGTGTGCACGAGGGGGACGGACGGAGCAGTTTAGCAGAACTGCTCGGTCGCACGTTTGTTGTCTCGGTAAATATGCAAAAACATTTCGGGACAATAATTGCTTGGCCTTAGCTGCGGCGGGGGAGCGATATGCCCGCGCACATCGGAAACGATAACGCCAGCATGAAAAATTTATCGGGACTCGGTTCGATCTCATTGAGTCTATGCAGATTCCAAAGTTAGAAGCTTGATATTTCAAACGTGCACATTCTACCTCGTCATTATGTTTTACATGAAATTTTCCTTTTATTTTTATTCTACTGAGTGCGAGAGTCGATGTAAACATTTCTTGCTGAATACCGCACAAGTATATTACCGGGATTATCGACTGATAAAAAGGCGCGAAGCTCTTATCTGCTTCGATTCTAGATGGAGAAACTTTTATTTATTATTTATCGATTAAGAACGGAGGTCGCGTTATTGCCATTCCGATCGGTCTACGATCGTTGGAAATCCCGAATCGGAAGCTACGCTGCGTCGTCGGGAAAACGCCGCGAAATTTTACGCGAAATATTCGGAATTAAAGTGTGAAATTCTTAAATCGGGCGACAACGATGACGGTGGCGCGAGTACGTGGCAGATTGAGCGTATGAAAAATATTTTCGTTCGATGCGACAAGCGGCGGAAAATCCAGTTTGTTATCGGCGAAATATCCGGCGGATCAGGCGGAGAAATGCGCGCGATGTGTGTTCCATTACCCGGCTGTCAACGTACTTATATTAACATTAACGAATTTTAATTAAAGCGCGTCGTTATGCGGCGGCCGGCACGCGGTACGGATAATTAGCACTCCGTGTGTCTTGGACCTTTCGCACTCGCTGATTATAATGTCTGCGCTGCCCGACGCATCCTCTTTGTATCTACATATGCAACCGCCGCGCCCGCGCCGGACTAATGTTCAGATTGCGCGAAAGAGCGCCGCATGGAGGGAAATCTGGGCGAGACAGAGCGAGCGAGAAACTGAAAGAGGGGGAGAGCGGGAACTGTAAAGGGAAAGCACAGGGTTACACGATAGATAAGATTGCAATGACGAAATGAAAGTCAACCGAATGAGGGCCGACAAAGATACGCCGCGCTGATCGAGCTGCGTTGTGTGAAAAAAGAAAAACGGTCGGAAAAACACGAATCGACTTAAACAAACTTTTGTCAGTTGACGATTGTGACAATTTCGCGGCTGAATACGTTCGATCGATCGACGTTCGGCGCATTCGGCAAAACCCTCGTGTTCTTGTAATCTCGTGTTTGCGTAAAACAAGCTCAACGTTTTAGTTCAATGAGGCGATCATAAAGCTGACCCCACGCATTATTGGACGTGTTCAGGGGAGACCGGGTCAATTTGGCCCAGGGGTCATGTTGATCAAGCGTCCCCCGCTCGTGTTTGTTTACTGTGAATGGCGAAACAATGGAAAAGTATGTCGCGGAATGTTCCTTTTGTACGGCATAAGGAAAGTATGAAGTCCTTGTATTCTAATAAAATATATCACGCGGTCGTTCAGTTTAATTTTTCGCTTAATTTAACCAGAGGTTTCCACCAGAGGTAGAATAAATAAATAAATAAATAGCTATTACGGCATTCGATGAATCCGTCGTTGCTCGGAGGAAACGTCTATATCGCGCAGCAACCTCACGCTTCAGTCTCACTGAGTCGGCGAAGTTTTGCAGGTCACATTTCCGACCCGCGACTTCGATCTTTCTCCAACTTGACGGGATTCACGCGGATTGCGCGACGAAATCTGCGTGACCCCGACACGCTCGGTCCATTTTACCCGGGATTTTTCTTCCCGGTGTGTTTAAACGCGACGACACGTCTCGTGTCGCGTCGTAAAATCGCCTGGACGCGTCTCGCCAAGTTTGAGCAACGCGACGCGCGCTTGACGTTGCACGAAGAGCCGACGTAATTAGCCGCGCTCTTGTTAACGAGACACACCGCGGAATAATATTCCGGAATAATCGCGACGCTTCTTTCTCCGAGGCAACGTCCGTTCTTAATCTCGTCCCCCCTCCGTGCGATCGAGATTGACGCGCTGCTGCGAGATACGACGGTTAAACGAGCATTAACGCGCGCGCATAAATCGCGCGGATGCGCCATAACATAATTCACATTGCAGACGGCATTACTCACCGGCAAGAACCCCAGCCATGTAAACCGCGGCGATCCTCAGGCTTCCGTGAACCATTTCCAAGGGAAGTCCCACGACCACCTGTACCCCCAGGTTAAACAGCAGGTGAAGCCACCTGGAAAAAGAAGCAGGCAAACGCGCGCTGAATTACCGAGGCATGCCGAGGATTGTTCCGCGCTACGGGAATTTTCCTAATTTAATTACGCCACCACATTCGCGCGCATGCGACCTTTCCGAGCACGCCCGAGCACGGCGTGCCGCGTGATTACAGGGTCAACCGGCCTGGCGAATAACTGCGACGCCATTTCCGACGGTATTTCCCCGCCGTGAACGAGACAATTGCCGTTGCAGTGCCGCGCAGGGAAGCGGAAGGATCAGCCGGCCGACGCGACGCGACGCGACGCGACGCGACGAACGCGAAATTCGCCGCGAGAAGCGCGCCGTCGATATCACGATTAACGTGTCGCCAAATAATTAGCCGCACACACACACACACATACCCACTGTTCAGCGAACACAGCCGCCACGAGCCAAGTTAACCTCCGAATTAACGGAGTATCGGCCGCAACTTGACTCGTCGAAGACGTGGCAAGTTCCGTGTACAACGGAACCCGCTCGCGCCGCGTCGTTTAATCGTGAGTTATCACGCCGCGGCCAGCCGCGGCTGTACATTTAATTAGGGACATTTCGTTACATAGACGACTGTAAGGCAGATAAGGACTCGACGACGGAGGCGCGGCCGGGAGGAGTCGAAAATGCGCGACGACGACGACGACGACGACGACGACGACTGGCGCGACGCTTCGTGACTATCGGAACACCGCCGGTGGGGAATTACGGTAATTATACTTGGCGGGCGGTTTAGCGGGTCGCGATCAAACAATATTCTTATTCGCTCGGAGCCAACGTTATTCCGACCGGCGCGGCGGGAGGGGCGAGAGGAGGCGGAGCGCGCCGCGGAGTGAAATAATTGCGAGATACCCCGGGCCCCGGGGCCGCGGTCGTAGGAAAGTTTTATCAGCGACTTCTGCGCCACAGAAGCACGAAAATCCGATACCCGGTAGCCGTTATCGCGAAACTTCGGCTGACTAATTATTACGTCTCGCCGAGGATTCCCACGTGTGCGCTCGCTCGCTGCCGCCGCCGCCGCCGCCGCCGCCGCTGCCGCCGCCGCCGCCAACACGACGACGACGACGACGACGACGACGACGGCGATGTCAAGACGACGATAAATCTCGCGACAAACGACGTAGTTTCGTAAAGTGTTGTAAAACGCGAATAAAGCGGGGCTTGAGGCGTACCGGGGACGTGGCGGGGGGCGAGCGAAGGGGGAGGAAGCGTAGCTTATAGCGCCGAGTAACATGGATTTGCCGGATCGAGATTAGAGTCGAAGCCGCGGGGATTTCGGCTGAATTCGGCGGCGGCGGCGGCGGCGGCGGCGGCGATTGCCGAGGACAAAAGCGATGCGAGATAAAATGCGAATGATAAGAGCAGTCGCGCGCGCGCAGAGCGCACGAGGGAAGAGGATGAGAGAGAGAGAGAGAGAGAGAGAGAGAGCGAGGGTGGAAAGAGAGGGAGGAAAGAAACGATAAGATCGAAAGCGTTGGCCGGTCCTCGGGAAATTCGGTCGGAAATTCCCGCGGAAAACTCACCGTGCGGAAAAGAGCGCTAGCGGCAGAGGGAGGGGGGGGGGGACGGAGAGAGAGAGAGAGAGAGAGAGAAAAGTCGTAGGGGCAATTATGAACATTATCTCGCGGTAAGAGGGAACTTTCTAAGCAACGACGGAGAATGATCGTTCTCTTATCTGCCGCGTCACACGCTCGGGAGCGCGGAAAATCTCGCAGGAGCGGATCCCGCTTGACACGCTGGAGAGAGAGAGAGAGATTCTCTCTCGGCTTGCCGCGCTGAAGGAGAAAGTGCCGGACACGGCGCGGCGCATGGATATCACGTTCACTCTGGAACCTTTTGCCGGAGCGTGCACACGTTTGCCGTTTGCCGGCGTGTTTCTATTTGAAGAAGGAGAAAAAGAAGAGAAACTTCGTTTTCGTACCAATATACCTGTTCAGCGCTTATGAGAAGGGACTCACCGGTCGATGTGTCGTATAAAAGGGGGCAGACGGTTTACATGGGCTAACAGCGGGCTAAATTTGAATAAGATCATTGTTGGGTGACTTAAATTTACCGTGAAAGGGTAATAACGTTCGACAGCGTGGCAATGCCGAGGGCTTTCCCAGTCTTACAACGTGCGCTACGAGGGGCTTTACGTACGCCTAGTCATTATTACCAGCGTTAGTTATAGGATTTTCGATCTTGCGATCTTGTAGATTGAAAGTCGAGTACGAGTAACCCTAACTATAGACATGCGTGATGCCCGGCGGCGAATCGACTACCTTCCACGCGAAATCCCCCAGCCAGCAATTTCGATAGCATTCGTATTAATATTCCCTCTCTTTCCAGCTTCCTTTTAACTTCATCATTAGCTTGTCACGTATCGCGAGGCAAATATTATAAAATGAGAATATTATAAAAGACTGTTTATGTATTTGGGAGGTTCTCTCTCTACAACATGGTTGCAGGAATCCGATGTTTCCATTTAAATAGGATAAACAATGCTTGCGTGAGAGGCTACGGCGTTTCAGAAAATGCATATTTTCTCATTCCAAGGGGATTTTTTCTCAGCGTGCAAAAATACAACGCTCGCGCGCGCTCGCGCATGAGTATAAATAAATATGTCACTAGCACTCACCGAATAAATATTCTTTAGATACCCAGCCCGAGTGAGACGGGCTGGAGGGAGGCGAGGAAGGTATTAATATAAATCTTACAGAAATTTGAATGTACAGATTCGGTCTGACGCGAAACGCCGATTCGCCGCGTAGATTTTCAGGCTGTCTCGTAGCACCTACGTAAATACATCGAAAGCACCATCGCCGTCTCGCAGTTGATTAAAATCGCTCGACCAAGAAATCCTGCGACTCTTGGCGCTCACTCTCTCTCTCTCTCTCTCTCTCTCTCTCTCTCTCTCTCTCTCTCTCTCCCTGTCTCTCTCGTTTCGTTTGTATCTCGGAGCCTACAATACAACGCACGTTTGTCTCAGCAAATTAACTTCGGCCTCTAGGCAGGTGCGTCGCGAAGGAGCGAGAGAGAGAGAGAGAGAGAGAGAGAGAGAGAGAGAGACGGATTCTAATTTCGAGAGGCGATTGATATTCTCCCCTTTCCCTCGTCCTTGTCGACAACGTTCGAGACCATTTTACGTTTCTCGACGATTCTCGACAAGTGCAGAAAGTCTCTCCTCGCGGCCGGAGCACGCTCGCGTGGTCGCAATTAGTCTGCGTGTACCGTAATGGCGGCGACGTGCGCCTAGGAAGCGACCAATTTGCATCGGCCACGAGGCGCAATCGTCGCCGTGCGCCGCGCCAGTCGCAATGCGGCCAAACGGAAAGAATGTGCCCGGTTGGAATTGTTCCTCGCGATCGTTGGCGTCGCGTTCTTTCGCTCGCTCGTTCGCTCGCGATCGCCGGCGTCTCATCGACAGAAATGGATGCCTCGACGCTCCTCTCGTGTTCCTCTCCTCTTCCCCTCCCTCTTAATCTCCTCATCACGTCACTCTTCCTTTTACACTTTCGGCTCTTCGCATTTCACGAAGAAACCGAGGTCCTGTTCAAACGGACGAGGGGGCAAGAAAGAGAGAGAGAGAGAAAGAGAGAGAGAGAGAGAGAGAGAGAGAGAGAAAGAGAGAGAGAGAGAGAGAGAGAGGAGAGAGAGGTACCGCAGGCAGAGGAGGGATGGGAGAAGGAGACGGCCATGAGATTAGGGTCGGAATGAAATCGACGCTCGGAATTTCAGCGAGTTTCTTGCCCACCTCGTTGCCACGCGCGAATGCAAATGGAAGGGCGGCGCGATGTCACGGGGGCGGAAAACGGCGGAGGTCGGCGCGGAGGCCGCTGGAACGGACGCCGTGATGTATAGGCGTCGATACGTTTTCAGAATGCAATCATCGGAATGGAACGCGTAAGGAGGCGTAGCGCGCGGCCGCGTGTGCCGTCGTGCCGGAGCGGTTCATAAATTTTCGCAGCCCCGCCGCCCGTCGATACCGACGGCGACGGCTCGCCGCGCCGATGAGACGTGGAGACTGGACCTACGCGCCGTCTTCAAGTTCTTCGTAGGAAACATCGGAACGCGGAGAATCATTCCTACCTTTCCCTCTCTCTCTCTCTCTCTCTCTCTCTCTCTCTCTCTCTCTCTCTCTCTCTCTCTCTCCCTCTTTCTCTGAATTTCTTGGAACGATAGCTCACGTAAAATGGTTGGGAATTCAACCGATGCGATGAACGGTGAAAACGTCGCCGCGCGAAATTACAAGGGTGAATGTTCCGACCTATTCGGGAATAACGATAAGAAATAGATGCGTAAGTGTACGTCCGGATATGCTTGATCTTTTTTCTCAGTTTGAACGAAATATAACGAACATTACTGCGGATGAGCCTTCGCCACAGAGTTCCGCAGGAAAGGGTGAGATCTCGTCGCACGATCGACAAATCGTCGTATTTGTGTCGCTTTAGAAATCAATCTCTTCCTTCTGACTTTACCAAACTTATTCCCGAAGAGATTACCTCAGCGATTGAATGGGTTCTTGATCCGTTCGATTGGATATTTCAGTTGATTAGAACTCGTTCTAGTGAGGTACATCGGACTCACTCTTCAGTCTCGGATGAAACGGGTTTCATCGGGTAATTTGGAGAATTTACTCTGTATTCACGCTGTCCAGTGAGAAATCTTTGGAATTTGAATGACTCGCGGCCGTCAATTTACTTGCCGTGCGGAATTTGCGAGCGAGTCGGTCTAAGAAATTTCTTTTAAATTTCTTCGTGCGTGAAGTCTCCCTCATACACACACACACACACACACACACACACACATAGACCTGGGAAATGAGTGAAAATATACGCAAAGCAATCGTGCAAGAAAAATTACCACTCGGTGTCGCAAGAGTGAATGTTTAACTCCAGAGACTCCTAATTCACGCGAGTGAATATTGCAGCCGGTTAAGATGAATTTGTTCCGGCAACGGCGGAGTATGTTAAATTCCTTCCACAATTTCAAATGAAAGTTTCACTC